ACCTTTCTGTTTTTCTCGACACTAGATGTCAAGAAAATGTTTTTCTTGACATTAGAGGTCATTTAGGGCTCCACTTACATGACTGTTCTGTTGTTTCTCTTAGAGATCTCCTTCTCTGTATCTGTTTCTCTATTAAAAGATGGAGAAATAAAAACAGGGAAGACTATGGGTATTAAGAGGATATTTTTCTTTGTAGAAGGATAATATATTATGTTTTGAATATGTATATAGTACCTCCTTAGCTTCACTCAGTGTAAGTGTTGCTTGACCCCTATACTGGTAGAAAAAATTAAACAAAAATGATACAGTCATAGATGTAGAGCTAACTAATAAGCTGGAGGGGGCAGGGGTGGTGTCTGGGCATCTGAGTTGGTAAGGTCCCAGGAAGGCTCCCTTAGGGGAGCAAAAGCCAAGAAGTAGCTATGTGATTATGCAATATCAGACCCCTTAAGAACTTCAGTATATATCCCAGATAACACACAGCACCCTTTTGCACACCCCAGTGTGACTTGCTTGTTTACAGTCTTCTCTACCAGATTGTTAACTGCCTAAGGGCAGAAATTAGTATTTTACGCTCCTTTGTGTCTCTGTAGTTTAGTAAGTGTCTGACATGTTTTATGTATTCAATAACTCTAAAATTACTGTAAAAGTAATGTACTATTTTCCTTCTTTAAGACCATTACATATAAATTTTTTTTTTTTTAACGTTTATTTATTTTTGGGACAGAGAGAGACAGAGCATGAACGGGCGAGGGGCAGAGAGACAGGGAGACACAGAATCGAAAACAGGCTCCAGGCTCTGAGCCATCAGCCCAGAGCCCGACGCGGGGCTCGAACTCACGGACCGCGAGATCGTGACCTGGCTGAAGTCGGGCGCTTAACCGACTGCGCCACCCAGGCGCCCCAAGACCATTACATATAAAACTAACATCACTTTTGGGGCACGTGGGTGGCTCAGTCGGTCAAGCATCCGACTTTGGCTCAGGTCATGATCTCGCGGTTCGTGGGTTAGAGCCCTGCGTCAGGCTCTGTGCTGACAGCTTGGAGCCTGGAACCTTTTTCGGATTCTGTGTCTCCCTCTCTCTCTGCCCCTCCCCTGCTCGCACTCTGTCTCTCTCTCCCTCAAAACAAATAAACACTAAAAATTTTTTTTTAAACTAACATCCCTTTGACCAACTTCCCCTAATCTTTTTTCTCTTCTCTCCATGTCCCACGTGATCATGTGTCCTTCTCAAACCCAGTAAAACACCTTGCAGTATGCACATAAATCCATGAACAATATGGTGTTTATTTTAGTTTACATATGTGATATAAACATTTATATCACTTTATAACTTGTTTTCAGATCCCATTAGAGATCTATCCCAATTGATATATTTACAGATAGAGCTCAGTCCTTAATTTTGTCTGCTTTTATAGTACCTCACTGTATGAATCACTAGATCAGGTTTCTCTTCCTTCCCCCCCCCCTTGGTAGATAATCTTTGGTATATCATGTTTTATTTATTCACTACACCACTGAAGGACATTTAGCTTGTCTTTGATTTTTCACGATTCTAATTATTCACTAATAACAGTATCCATATCAAAATTCCATGTGCTTACATAGGACAAAGCTATGTCATCACTGTATAATTAGGCTACAGGAATGCACACACACATAAAAGTCTGACAAAATAGTTTCATCACCAAGAAATGCAACTGGAAAAAACCAAATGAGCTGCAAAAAATACATGATTGCCTCTGGAAACAAGCTATATATAGAGCAAGGTTAGGTTTTCCTAGCTACAGTTTCAAATAACAGGGAGAGGGGATCAGCAGCTTAGTCCAATTTAGCAAAATTGGAATTGGTGAGTGCAAGTGAAATACTAACTCTGATACATAATGGTGCAACCAACACAGTGTACTCATTCAAGATAAAAGATCCATTATAAACTAATGGGTCAAAACCAATAAGGAAGACTTCTGAGGAACCTGGTTATTCAGTATGGGTAATGTATGTCAGAATTTAATTTTTCCATTTATGGTCATCAAAGAGACCCCAAATGGAAAAGAGACCATCCTCTATTACTTTATGTTAATTTTGGGAAAATTTAAAAATCAAACAGAAATTGATGCTTGGGTTTATTCCAAGGTTAGGTCTAAAATGCTGTAACACAGCAACTCTTTGTTAAAAAAATGCAGATGAACTATTGGGACCTCATCAAGATAAAAAGCTCTGCACAGCAAAGGAATCAGTCAACAAAACTAAAAGGTGATTCCATTCCAGTGGAATGGGAGAAGACACCTGCAAATGACATATTGGATAAAGGGTTAGTATCCAAAATCTATAAAGAACTTACCAAACTCAATACCCAAAAAACAAGTAACCCAGTGAAGAGATGGGCAGAAGGCATGAATAAGATACTTTTCCAAAGAAGACATCTAGATGGCTGACAGACACATGAAAAGATGCTCAACATCACTCATCATCAGGGAAATACAAATCAAAACCACAATGAGATACCACCTCACACCTGCCAGAATGGCTAAAGTTAACAACTCAGGAAACAAAAGGTGTTGGCGAGGGTGCAGAGAAAGGAACTCTCTTGCACTGTTGGTGGGAATGCAAACTGGTGCAGCCACTCTGGAGAACAGTAGGGAGGTTCCTCAAGAAGCTAAAAATAGGACTATGATCCAGCAATTGTACTATTAGGTATTTATCCAAAGGATATAAAAATGCTGATTCGAAGGGGCACATGTACCCCAACTGGTGTGTGTGTGTGTATACATACACACACATACATGTATAATGGAATATTACTTGGCAATTGAAAAGAATGAAATCTTGCCATCTCCAACAATGTGGATGGAACTGGAGGGTATTATGCTAAACGAATTAAGTCATTTAGGAAAGACCAATATCATATGATTTCACTCATGTGGAACTTGAGAAACAAAGTAGATGCACATAGGGGAAGGGAAGGAAAATAAGATAAAACAGAGAGGGGGGGCGCCTGGGTGGCTCAGTCGGTTGGGTGTCCGACTTCGGCTCAGGTCATGATCTCACAGTCTGTGAGTTCAAGCCCTGCGTTGGGCTCTGTGCTGACAGCTCAGAGCCTGGAGCCTGCTTCGGATTCTGTGTCTCCCTCTCTCTCTGCTCCTCCCCTGCTCATGCTCTGTCTCTCTCTGTCTCAAAAATAAATAAAAACATTAAAAAAAACAAAAAAACAAAAAAACAGAGAGGGAGGCAAACCACAATAGACTCTTAAATACAGAAAACAAACTGAGGGTTGCTGGAGGGAAGATGGGCTGGATGATGGGCTAAATGGGTGGTGGGTACTAAGGAGGGCACTTGATGGGATAAGCACTGGGTGTTATATGTAAGTGATGAATCATCGGGTTCTACTCCTAAAACCAATGCTACACTATATGTTAACTAACTTGAATTTAAATAAATTAAAAAAAAAAAGGAAAAAAAATATGCAGAAATAGCAAAGGCGCAGTAGAAATTTTCAAAGTGTTTGACGATAACAAATCATTGTTTTATTATTATTGAAATAATTTCACAAATTAACTCTTTTTGAAGAGACTGGCAATGTAGCTGCCCCACAATGAGATTATATAAAACATAGATATTACAATTTGCAGCTTTCTAACTCCTTGCTTTACAAATAAATTAAAGAACTCAGAAAGGAAGAGAAAAGGGTCCTAAAATTAAAAATAAAATCACTGGGTTCTACTGAACAATTGTAGTCAGAGATGACACAAAGAGTAAAATGAAAAAGAATTCTGGGGCGCCTTTGTGGTTCAGTCGGTTAAGCATCCGACTCTTGATTTCAGCTAAGGTCATGATCTCACAGTCCCTGAGATTGAGCCCCACATCGGGCTCTGTGCTGATGGTGCAGAGCCTGCTTGGGATTCTCTCTCCCTCTCTCTCTGCCCCTCCCCTGCTCGTGCTGTCCCTCTCAAAATAAATGAACATTAAAAAAAATTCTCATAGACAATGTGTATGAAAGTGTACAGCAGGATACACACATACTTTTGATTTACGTTACAAAGCACAGTAAAGTTGTGAACACCTGGGAGCCAACCATGCAACCTCATCACTAGACAATCCCAAGGAATCATGTCTTCCCTTATGTTCTTCTCTATTCTATCCCCTTGCCTCATCTCCCCAAATCCCCACCCCCAAGAAGTAATCATTGTCTCTTTTGTACCATTGATATGAAGGAACTACTAGGAACATTTTTAAGAGTGAAAGTAGTGCAAACTCATCTTGAGTAGAAAAACAAATTTGTATCTATCTATTACTCATATCAGGGACAACATGCAGCATCCCTATTACTATGAAATCTTACATCAGCACCATTTCTATTAAAAATGAGTTATATTACTCTTTTTTAAAAAAATTGTTTTTAACGTTTATTCATTTTTGAGGGATAGAGTGTGAGCAGGGAGGGGCAGAGAGAGAGGGAGACACAGAATCCGAAGCAGGCTCCAGGCTCTGAGCAGTCAGCACAGAGCCTGATGCAGGGTGTGAACCCACGAACGGGGAGATCATGACCTGAGCTGAAGTCGGACACTTAACTGACTGAGCCACCTAGGCACCCGAGTTACATTACTCTCTTATGTCTTCTCACAATTGATTTTTATGTGACCTCACTTTCAATTATCCTATTAAGGGCTGATAAAAATAAGCCTAATTTTTTTAACTTCTTAAAATAAAGATAGTTAAGCATATCACTTCTATTAGATAATAGCTCAAGAAAAGATTAAAACGCTTAACAGGGGGCCTGGCTCAGTTGGTTAAGTGATCGACTCTTGATTTCAGTTCAGGCCATGATCTCATGGTTTGTGGGATCAAGCCCCAAGTCTAGCTCAGCACTAACAGCATGGAGCCTGCTTGGGATTCTCTCTCTCCCTCCCTCTCTGCCCCTTCCCCAGTCGTTCTCTCTCTCTCTCTCTCAAAATAAATTAATAAACTTGAAAAAAAGATTAAATACTTATAGGCAACTTACCTCATGTAAATTCAGTTCTTTTACTTTCTCTTTTAATATAACCTGTAAGACATAAAAGTATGTCATACTCATTTAAACGTGTAATTAAAAAATATCTCATTATACTCACACATATTTTTCTATTGTATATGTTACTCATTTCTCCTCTTATTCAATATTAAAGAAAATCTCTTTTATAGCTTGAGACAGAACATTTTTTTAGCAACATTCTTTCTTTGAAAAAAAAAATTTTTTTTAATGTCTATTTTTGAAGGAGGGAGGGAAAGAGAGAGAGAGAGAGAGAGAGAGAGAGAGAGAGAGAGAGAGAGAGACCACAAGTGGGGGAGGGGCAGCTAGTGAGGGAGACACAGAATCTGAAATGGGCTCCAGGCTCTGAGCTGTCAGCACAGAGCCCAACACAGGGCTCAAACTCATGAACCGTGAGATCATGACCTGAGCTGAAGTCAGATGCTTAACCAACTGAGCCAGCCAGGTGCCCCAGCAACATTTTTTCAACTTGAGCAATGATGCAATGTTCTCCCAAAAAGCAATTTTAAATCCCTTTGGGTATAGATTAACTTTTAGGAAAAGATATTAATACATTCTCATCTGGACTAAGTGCTAACCCAGGAGGAAAATAAATGAGGTCGACTCTCATGATTCAGTAAAACACAGTATTGGCTGACGGGAAGTGAACGATTACTAATATATAAAAGATTAAAAAATAAGGTCAATCTTAATTTTAGAAGTTTTGCTTATTATTTTGCATTACTATCCCCAGGAAATTTTAGCTCTACCCAGAGTTATGTAAATGAACTTAAAATTCATCCAGTCCCTAACCTGACTCTGTGGTGACTGGATACCAAAAAAAAAAATGCCAAGTGATAAGAGGATGGATTATTATTTAAAAAGAAAGTTTCTGAGAATAAACAGCTTATTAGAACTACATGCCATCTTAAAGTGAAAAAACAGGCAAGTGAAATTTGGAGAAAATCTCCCAATTTTGAGTATCTTATATTCCTGAACCAAAAATGGTTTTCAGGGCATATTACATTTTCAGAAATCAAAAGCTACCATCCGACTACACAGGGATGTACTAAATTTCCAACTCAGTAGATTTTAAAGACCATTTTACTTTCTGTCTTCTTACTGTATTAATTCTATCAGTCAATTTCACTTCTTGAATAAACCATCAAGGCCAATTTTACTTTCTACTTAGCTTACATACAAATCTTATAGGCTGTCAAGTTTACGATAATGTTGAGACAACAGGATTCATTCATTTAGAAAAACTAAAACATTCAATTCTGTGTATAAATCCCACATGAGACCTATGGGAAAGAGCGTGGGGTTACCTATGAACATCAGTGTATACATCTAAGGAACTTGACAAGGAGCTCAGATTTCAAAAAGACACGAACAAAAGATGTATAAAAAAAGATACGTAATCCTAAAACAGTGACATGGTCCTGTAGTGTCAGCGTCAGTTAAAGGCCCAAATAAGCTAAAGCTTGCCCCACAACCCTTCAAAAAAAACCAACAACAAAACCCAACAAAAAAACTAAAAAAAAAAAAAACAAACAAAATCTAAAAAACAGAAAGCAAAAAACTAAGGACAACAAAAATAATTTCATACTTTTGACTAAAACAAAATTAAGGAACACCTAGACCCACTGTTTGGAGTAAAATGTTAATGGATGACACATGGAAGAAAAAACAAATTATACTTGGCCGTCAAGAAAAGCTAAGTTTATTACCTTAAAAAACAAATCAGTAAAAGGATGATAGTACAAAGGGCTAGGGGTTAACAATAATGACCCAAGTATTTGGATTTCTGGTGGTGTGACATTAATAGAAAGGGGGAGGAGATGAGATCACTATAATACAACTGGTCCCCTCTGAGGAGCTGGTGTCTTCTACTGGAAGAGGTGAAAAAAAAAAAATTCATTTCATGGAATCTCTGAATGCCACTAGATTAACCATAGCTTTAAGGATTATAAACCACAGCATCTCCCTTTAGCAAAATGTTGGCTAAACCTTCCTGTTATATTATTATATCATCTGAACTTTCTATAACTTCAAATAATACTTAAAGAAAATACTTAAAGAAGTTGACCTATTTTGTATTACAAACTGGCAAGTGAAATGCTAAAATGAACACAAGTAAATTCAGCCCCAGATTAAAATATGAGTGGAAATCTAAATTCTCATTTTTTGGCAAAAAAACAAAACAAACAAAAAACAACCAAAAAACAAAACAAAAAACATAAAGATCAAAGCCAATCTGAAGTAAATTTCTCACCTGTTTGTAGGCATAAAATTCTTTGTGTGCTTGATGTCTTAGCCTAAAAGACAGAATATGAGTAATGTGATATTGAGGTTTCCAATGTAACAATTTGATAAAAATCTTAAACAGATTTTTGATATTAATTTATATCATTTATTGTTTAAAATCCAAAACCTTTATCCTGAAAAATACCCACATGACCTGTTACCATGTTATGACAATAACCATAAAATATTATCAAAATATTAACTCAAGTGAAATCTCATTAAAACAAAATCTTAACACAACAAATATTTTAATGAACAAGCCTCAATTTATATTGGTGATAGTCCACTGGTTTCAGTAATATTTAATATATTACATTTTTCTTAATTAAAAAAATTAAGTATAACATCCATCTAATAATGTACAAAAACTTTAATACAGTTAAATATGTTAAAATATATATATTTATACACTGCTGTAACTATCACCCAGATCAAGATATAGAACATTTCCAGGACCCCTGAAATGACTCGTCCCAATCAGTATCTACTCCTAAGAGGTACCCACTATCTTGATTTCTACCATTACAGATTATCTGTGCTTGTTTTGAGCTTCACATAAATGGATCATTTGGTACACTTTTTATGTTGGCTTTCAGCTAACAAATACTTGTGAAATTCATCCACATTGCAGTAAATCTTTCTGACATATAGTGCTCCACTGTGTGAATATAAGACTATCCATTCCACTGTTGATGAATATTTAGGTTACTTCCAGTTTGGGGCTATTATAAAGCTGCTAAACAAATTCTTCTACATGTCTTTTAGCAGACATATAGACTCAATTCTGTTGAGTATATATGTAGGAGTAGAATTGCTAGTCAAAATGCTTATACCAATTTCTACTCCTAGATGTAATGCATGAGAGCTCTAGCTGTTTTAAATTTTTGCCACTACTTGGTAGGGTTGATTAAAAATTTTTTTAGCTGGATTAAAGCCCAGGGCTCTGTCGGTTAAGCATCAGACTTTGGTCAGGTCTTGATCTCATGGTTCGTGGGTTCGAGCCCTGTGTTGGGCTCTGTGCTGACAGCTCAAAGCCTGGAGCCTGTTTCAGATTCTGTGCCTCCCTCTCTCTCTCTGCCTCTTCCCCATTTGTGCTCTGTCTCCCTCTTAAAAATAAACATTAAAAAAAAATTTAGCCAATCTGATAGGTCTATTCAGTGGTATCTCATTTCAGTTTTAATTTGCATTTCCCAAATGATGTTAAGAACCCTTTTATATGCTTATTGTCCATTTGTATATCTTCCTTTAAAAAATACCTATTTGGGTCTTTAAAAAATGAGTTACCTTTTTCTTATCAATTTTTCTTTACATATATTATATATATATTAGATATCTAACATATCTAATATATATATGTATACATACATATATTAGATATACTCTGTTGGGTCTATGTACTGCAATTATCTCCTACTCTGTGGCTTGCATTTTCACTCTCTTGATGGGTGTATCTTTTGATGAACAGAAGCTTTTAATTTAAATTAAGTCTAATTTATAAACTCTTCCCAATAATGTCAGTTCTTTTTGTGTCCAGTTAAAGAAATCTCTGTCTACCCCCAGATCATGAAGATATTCTCTTGTGTGTACTGTGAAAACAATGTGTTATTTTACCTATCACATTTAGGTATCCATTTAAAATTACTTACAATCCATCTGAAATTAGTCTTTATATATATGATGTGAGTAGGGGTTAAGATTCTTTTTATCCACATGCAGATTTTCATTTGACTCATTTATTGAAAAGTCCCTATTTCCCTTTTGCATTTCAGTGGCATATCTGTTGGGAGACAGACCCAATATGTGGGTCTGTTTCTAGAGTTTCTATTCTGTTCCACTGGTCTATTTGCCTGTTCTTGTATACTAGGTTGAACAGTGTAAAAAATTCATGTCTGCTGGAACCTCAGAATGTAGCCCTATTTGGAAATAGAGTCTTTGTAGATTATTTAGTTAAAATGAAATCATATTGGGATTAGGGTAGACCCTAAATCCAATACGACTGGTGTCCTTAGAAGAGAAGAGAGACCATACAGAAACACAGGGAAGAAGGCCAGGTAAAGATAGAGACAGACTGAAATGATACAGCTACAAGCCAGAGAACATCAAGGATTTCTGGTAACTACCAGGAACTAGCAGAGGCAAGGAAAGATCCTCTCTTAGAGCCTTCGGAGGGAGCATGGACCTGCTGACACCTTGATTTCAAACTTCTAGCCTTCAGAACTGGATTTAATGTTTATTTATTTTTAAGTCAGAGAGAGCGCAAGCAGGGCAGGGGCAGAGAGAGAGGGAGACACAGAATTCAAAGCAGGCTCCAGACTCTGAGCCGTCAATGCAGAGCTGGACATGGGGCTCGAATCCACAAATCATGGGATGAGATCATGACCTGAGCCGGCCAAAGTTGCATGCTTAACTGAGCCACCCAGGTGCCCCTAGTGGGTTAGGTGTATTAAATGCATTTTTGATTATAATATTCTCAACTTACAGTGGGTTTACTGGGATGTAACCCCACTGTAAGTTGAGGAAGATCTGTACATGTATATTGTTCTCCAGTTACTTTCATCTCTGTCTTAAAAAGGTATTCTCCTGCTTAAAACTAATAGCAGTATAGGGGTGCTTGGTTGGCTCACTTGGAAGAGTTATGTAACTCTTGATCTCAGGGTCTAGCCCCACATTGGATGTAGAGATTAAATAAACTTAAAAAAAAAAAAAAGAATACCACTATAACTTTTAAGTGTGTCTCCTCTCACCTCTATGGTTCATTCCTTCTCACAAATCCTTCACAACTAGCTCACTCTCCTTAATACTATTTATATTATTCTGTATTTATTAATATGCCCGAATCTCTTAAGACAAACACCAAAATACTTCCTTGATTCTATAGCAAACTGCACACCTACCCTACCCCAACCTAATCTTTTCTCAGCCAAGATTCTTCAAAGAGGAGGTCATATTTCTTGTATTCATTTTCACCTGCTGGTCAGGCCTTGCCCCATTACAGTCCACCTTTCATCACCCCTGTATCCATGCTACTGAAACTTTTCTAACTAAAATTATAGACGCAAGCTTAATTGTCAAATGTAATGGGAACTTTTTTTTTTTTTTTAACGTTTATTTATTTTTGGGACAGAGAGAGACAGAGCATGAACGGGGGAGGGGCAGAGAGAGAGGGAGACACAGAATTGGAAACAGGCTCCAGGCTCCGAGCCATCAGCCAGAGCCCGACGCGGGGCTCGAACTCACGGACCGCGAGATCGTGACCTGGCTGAAGTCGGACGCTTAACCGACTGCGCCACCCAGGCGCCCCAATGGGAACTTTTGACATAACTGACTTAATCCACTGAAATGTTACTTGTGGGGTTCCTGTCCTATGATTTTTCTTCCTATCTGCTTCTATCCCCTTCTAGTCTCTTCTATGGGATCCTCTTAAATATCAGTGTTTTCCTAGGATTTTGTCCTGGATCCATTTTATTTCTCTATACACATTCTTTCTAGGGGACCCTCCTGGCCTCAGCTTCTACCTATTATTACATGACTCCCTTTTTCTAGACAGATTTCTTATAAGCTTTAGACCTATATATCCAATTGTGTACTAAATATTTTGACTGTTAACACAAAAAACTCAGTCATCCCATGTCTAAAGTGGAATCTATCATCTTTCCACCCCAAACCTGCCTGTTTTCTAGCTCTATAAAGGGACTGCTATCTTCCCAGCTGCCTAAACCAGAAGTCCAGGAACAATTCTGAGCACATCTTTTCTTGTCCATCATTAATATCTGGTCACCAAATTCTGTTCATTTTCACCACCCAAATATTACTCACAACCATCCATAACACCCTATGTAGCTCTACTGTCATTATCTCGGTTTAAGACCTTAAAATTTTTGTTAGATAACTCAAAAGCCCTCCTATAACTTTAGTTTTCAATTTTTTCTTACTTTTAAGTGTTTATTTTTGAGAGAGAGAGAATGAATGAATATGAATGAGACTGAGAATGAGAATAAATGGGGGAGGGGCAGACAGAGAGGGAGCCACAGAATCCAAAGCAGGCTCTGGGTTATCAGCACTGAGACCAATGTGGGACTCAAACCCAGAAACTGTGGGATCATGACCTAAGCTGAAGTCGGATGCTCAACTGACTGAACCACTTAAGACGCCCCAGCTTTGATCATTTTAAAGGAGCTGAATCCATAAATCTCCAGATTAACTTCAAATGACTTGTGAAATCCAAATTTAATATATGAAAGGTTAAAACTAACACTAGATTCATCAGAAAGGAAAAGCTCCTTACATCATGATTTAATTTTTAAAATGGTACCACTGACTTGTAAATGAAGTTTAGAAATGTTTGAACATTTCTAAAAGACTGGTTTCTCTAATTAGACAAGATAATTTTATTTTAGTATAGCAGATCCCCACTTATTTGCTTTGTTAGATAAATAATAAAAAAGATACAGAAAGGATAAAATGAAGTACAATGGTAATATATGAAGACAACCGTTATCATTTTTTTCCCTTTCTCTACCTATTTGCTTGATTATTCAAAGGAATACAATGAAGTAAAATGGTGTTTCACAATTGATTTCTCAAAAAGCTTACCCAGAATCACAATTGGTATATTAGTGTTTTTCTTAAAACAAGGTTAAAGGCTTAGTTCTTAGACATAGTAATAAAAACTATACTATGAGCTAGCTTGAATATTTTAGAATATTTTACATATATAAAACTCCTTCATTAATGAATCTTTAAAAAATATTTTGTTATATTATTATATTATTTTATCTTTTAAAGTATAATTTGGGGGGCGCCTGGGTGGCGCAGTCAGTTAAGCGTCCGACTTCAGCCAGGTCACGATCTCGCGGTCCGGGAGTTCGAGCCCCGCGTCGGGCTCTGGGCTGATGGCTCAGAGCCTGGAGCCTGTTTCCGATTCTGTGTCTCCCTCTCTCTCTGCCCCTCCCCCGTTCATGCTCTGTCTCTCTCTGTCCCAAAAATAAATAAAAACGTGGAAAAAAAAATTAAAAAAAAAAAATAAAGTATAATTTGGTTTCAAATATTAAATTCACAAATTTCTTAGTTAAAACCACTATTTATAGCAAAACCAAAAAATTTAGTAGATCTGAGGGAAGAAATAACAACAACAAAAAATCAGCAGTTCTCTACCATCCTCCCCAAAGATAATCATATTTTAAGGTTATGAGGGCCTGTTTTTGCTATGGCTAATTCCTTCATTCAAAAAAAAAAAAAAAAAAAAAAAAAAGCCAAATATTTACATAACATTTATCAAACTATTATTTTTTTTTTTCAACATTTATTTTTGGGACAGAGAGAGACAGAGCATGAACGGGGGAGGGACAGAGAGAGAGGGAGACACAGAATCGGAAACAGGCTCCAGGCTCTGAGCCATCAGCCCAGAGCCTGATGCGGGGCTCGAACTCACGGACCGCGAGATCGTGACCTGGCTGAAGTCGGACGCTTAACCGACTGCGCCACCCAGGCGCCCCTATCAAACTATTATTTAAAAAAATGTTAGAAAAAAGAAATTTCTGCAAATAACATTTTTCCTAAATGCTATAATTATATTAGTTAAGTGTTTATTTATTACTCTGAGAAAGACCTAAAAATCCTAAGTAGCCAGCATATCTATGAGAGGTAAGAAGTGATTACATTTTGTGAGAACTTCAAAAAAGATTCAATTTCTGTAGGAATGTAGACTTATTTATCAGAATATTGGAAACAATACACTAAATTACTCTCAAATTTGACCATCAGTGAGTAGTCACTGGTGGCAACAATTAATTATTGCTTAAAGACATCTGATGAGGGTATGTATCGTAACCATAATCACATTCTGTACAAGCACTAAAAATTGTTAGAGGTATAGGTGTTTAATAAAATCCAACTTTCTACTCTTTTATTCATAAAGCTCTTTGAACAATACAGTATATGAATTTTTACAGTCTTTAAGTTTCAGCTTTGAAAACTAAAAAGAATAAGACGTTTGTTTAAACAATTATGAGTAAGTCAACTGTGAATCCTTTTTTTTTTTTTTAATTTTTTTTTTTTCCAACGTTTATTTATTTTTGGGACAGAGAGAGACAGAGCATGAACGGGCGAGGGGCAGAGAGAGGGAGACACAGAATCGGAAACAGGCTCCAGGCTCTGAGCCATCAGCCCAGAGCCCGACGCGGGGCTCGAACTCACGGACCGCGAGATCGTGACCTGGCTGAAGTCGGACGCTCAACCGACTGCGCCACCCAGGCGCCCCTCAACTGTGAATCTTTACTGGCCAAATCCATTACTCCTTCATGTGAGGTGTTATCCTTTGTCACTTCTCCATACACGTGTTGCAGAGCTTTTGGAATATTTAGTGTTTTATGCAGATAATCAATCACCTGAACACTTGACCAAAGGAACTTAAAATCTTAAGAGACCACAAGAACCTGTTTAAAGGCTTGGACCTTGCCTTGGACATTGTTTTCTAATCCCTAATGACTTTAGCTAACAATGACGCAACACCATCCTTGAAAAGATATCTTGAAATCTTTGTGAATGTAGATTAAATCTTGGGAACAGATAATAAGTGTATCTGGACCAGGTGCTAATATGTTAGAAAAATAAATGGGGACAATTTTCTTCTTTAGAGTAAAACACATTCATCAACAAGTAGGATTGAAGACTGTATAAAGGTGTTTTATTCATTAGTAACTAACTCACAGAAGGTTAAAATGTTTAGCAACCTTAATTTTAGAAAATTTGCTAATTATTGCACATATACAATTTTTTAACCTAAGGGCAAAAAGCTGATTTATAATTGATTAATATATTCTGAAGTAGCACAGAATGAAAACTGATTACCTAATCAAGTAGCAACAGAAGAGTAAACTAAGGATGAAGACAAATATAGCAGTGCCAAAAACCACAATATATATGTTGAGAGGCAGATTCTGGAATCCAATATTAGGCATCCTGAAGTTGTAATGTGGGAAATCCGAGCTCATGGATGAACTGTGGGGGGGAAGAAAAGAAAGGAAAAAAAATTAGGTTATAAAGACTAAGAACCAAGATAGCATTATCTTTGAATGTATATGGAGGCAATAATTTTCTTAAGACTTGACCCCATTTGAAATAAATATAATAGACAAAGAGTTAATATTCTTGCCATTCATTTATCATGCTATAAATATATTTTATTTTTAAAAATTTGTTTTTTAAAGATCATCAGTTTATTTGAAAGGTGATCACCAGAGGATAGCACTTTAAATTTCCAATATTGATAAATTTTAAATTGTGACAATTTAAAGTTATAAATAAGGTTATTTTCCCTTCTTTTAACACATCATAACATTGTTTTAAGGACTACAATGAAACATTTTAGGCTGAAAACTTTCTTAGTATCCTCTTAAAAAGGTTTTGAATTTCTTGTCTAGTTGTGGGTTTTTTCCCCCCCTTTCTTTTAAATTTAAATTTTAGTTAATATATAGTGCAATACTGGTTTCAGGAGTAGAATTCAGGGATTCATCACTTACATACAACATCACCCAACTAGCCCATCTCCCACTTCCCTCCCTCTGTCAACCCATAGTTTGTTCTTTATCATTAAGAGTCTCTTGTGGTTTGTTTCTCTTCTCTTCCTCCGCTCCTTGCCATATGTTCATCTGTTTTCTTAAATTCCACATGAGTGAAATGTTATTTCTCTTTCTCTGACTTACTTCATTTAGCATAATACACATCATTGCAAATGGTAAGATTTCACTCTTTTTGATGGCTGAGTATATATATACATACCACATGTATGTATATATCCATTCTTCTTTATCCATTCATCAGTCGATGGACATTTGGGCTCTCTCCATAGTTTGGTTATTGTTGATAATGTTGCTATAAACATTAGGGTGTATGTACCCCTTTGAATCTGTATTTTTGTATCCTTTGGGTAAATACCTAATAGTGCAATTGCTGGATAGTAGGGGAGTTCTACTTTTAGCTTCTTGAGGAACCCCCATAGTGTTCTCCAGAATGGCTGCACCAGTTTGCATTCCCACCAACAGTGCAGGAGAGTTCCCCTTTCTCTGCATCCTCGCCAACACCTGTTATTTTTTGTGTTGTTAATTTTAGCTATTCTGACATGTGTGAGGTGGTACCTCATGATGGTTTTGATTTATATTTCCCTGATGATGAGTGTTATTGGGCATTTTTTCATGTGTCTCAGCCATCTGGATATCTTCTTTGGAAAAGCATCTATTCATGTCTTCTGCCCATTTCTTAACTGGGTTATTTGTTTTTTGGGTATTGAGTTTGGTAAGTTCTTTATAGATTTTGGATACTAACCATTACCAGATATGCCACTTGCAAATATCCTCTTCCATTCCACAGGCTGCTTTTTGGTCGTGTTGATTGCTTCCCTCACTGTGCAGCTTTTTTTTTTATCTTGATGAGGTCCCAATAGTTCATGCTTGCTTTTGTTTCCCTTGCCTTTGGTGACAAGTCTAGTAAGAAGTTGCTCTAGACAAGGTCAAAGAGGTTAATGCCTGTGTTCTCTTCTAGGATTTTGATGGTTTCCTGTCTCACATTTAAGTCTTCATCCATTTTGAATTTATTTTTGTGTATAGTGTAAGAACGTGGTCCAGTTTCATTCTTCTCTATGTTGCTGTCCAGTTTCCCCAACACCATTTGTTGAACAGACTTTTTTCCATTGGATATTCTTTCCTGCTTTGTCAAGGATTAGTTGACCAGAGAGTTGTGGGTATGCCACAAATATTTATTGAGTACTTACTATGTACTTGACACTACTCTAGAAACTTGAGATCCTACCTAAAACACCTTTACAAGTTACATTCATTCATGAAAAGGTACTTCACTGAAGTAATGCCAGGAATCAATAGACATATGAAAAAGTTCAACCTCAAAGTACAAACTGTGCCCCACCCCACCAAAACAAAAATAGAACAAGTCTTAAGATCTTAAAAACTTTGTAACCTTTAAAGTAAGGAACATTAATAATGGTAAAATATTGGAAATAACTTAGATATCTCACAAGGAGGTAATGATTAAATAATTTTGTTAAGTCATGTTACAGTATTATGAGGTCATAAAAATCTGTTTCGGTAAATTTTAATGTCAAGGGAAATATAAGGCTATGTGGGAAAAATTAAGCAGGATATAGATTGTATATTAGGGGCGCCTGGGTGGCGCAGTCGGTTAAGCGTCCGACTTCAGCCAGGTCACGATCTCGCGGTCCGTGAGTTCGAGCCCCGCGTCGGGCTCTGGGCTGATGGCTCAGAGCCTGGAGCCTGTTTCCGATTCTGTGTCTCCCTCTCTCTCTGCCCCTCCCCCGTTCATGCTCTGTCTCTCTCTGTCCCAAAAATAAA